GCAAGATCTATTGTATGAACAGGTTGAAGTTATGATGGAGACATAGACCTGGAAACCTACCTCGAGGGCATCTTACATTCCATCATGGAAGAGGAGCCTGCCTTGATGGTCCAACACGCGAGCGCCCCTTGCCTACCTTGAGGCTGTGAAGTCTTCGGCGCAATTCATACAGAGGTTGTGATTTTGCTATAAGCTCGTGGGACGTGGGAATGGCCAATTCCACGAACGCCATGTAGGTGCATACCAGGGCTGGGGCGCTTGACCAAGTTAAATAACGTACCAACAAGTGCGGCGAGATGAACTTCCGCATGTGACATGGCCCAGCGAGACAGCGTCGACATTTCAAACTGAACTCATGACATCTGGTCGCCGGCAATGGACTTATGACATCGAGAGGTCTCTCCCGCCTGTATTGCTGGCTAAGACTGCGTGCAATGTGCATTTTCACACCATAGTGATAGTGCTGGAAGGACGGGCAGTCGCGGTCTGCGCAGTCAAGTCAAAGAAGACCCACCGCGCGTCTACCCATCACGAAGTGTTCTTCACTAGGGAAGTTTGCCGCCGGGAAGCGCAAGCGGCAGTCCAGTAGGCTGCGAGTTGTAGATAGTCATCGCGAGCGCAGTTTCGGTGTGCAAGCACAAATTTGCGCACGATCGCGTAGTCTTCGACGGACGCGCTGGCTAGGCAATGCCATGAGTTCCCTGGAACTTGCTAGCGCCTACAGCTTAGGGGGATTGCGCCGCCCAGCAGCTCCAGATTGGCATGGACCAGGCGATGTGTAGCACCGAGCACTACAGCAACCTGTTGTCGAACACTCCAGCGCTCTCTGCTCAACCGCGAGCGTTCGTATCTCAAAATGGTCGGCACATCACAGCGGTATAGCATCGGCGTTGTTTAGGTCCAGTTTGTGCTCTGTCCGTGATATCGAGAGTCCGCAGGCCAGGTAGTGTTGTGCGGCATAGTTGTGGACGCTGTGAGGGCGCAGCTCGTTTCACTGCCTTACACTGTTATTATTGATGCAAGGTCGATGTTGACGTCTCAAGTAGGAGTAAGAGGGAGAAGACGAGGAGGACTGTCTGCCAATGAATTTTGCCGCCTCCCGCTAGCCAAGCTTTTGGCTGGCGGCTCTCCATCGTTGGTTTCATCTCCTAATGATGCTGCACTGGTGGATGTTCGAATTGCGGCACCGCGATTGCCAGGCAACAATGCGGCACAGCGTGAGATGTTACACCCACCCTGCGCATTCCTGGACAATGTCAGCTAGCAGCATTCTGTTCTTCATTTTCGCTCGATATTCTGCTTAGTCCGCCGCTTCTTGCTATGAGAGTGACGATTATGCGTGACTTTACCAAGAGCACCATACTGCGCTGCGTTCTTGCGTGTGTTCGATTTCAGACAATCACAGCGCAGCAGGACTATGGCATTGGCTTCCAGTTCGCCCCGGCCTATGGGTGAGGCGAAATTCTTCGTAAGCATAGCGCGCGACGACTGACGCTTACGACAGTTCTGTCGCAGTCTCTTATGAGAATGGGTCGAACATTGCTCTTGGACGTGTCAACGGCGATATAGCATGGCGTGATTTGATGTTCAAACTCTGCGTCGATACCAGATATACGCGCTACGATAATAGCGATACTACGTTGGAAGCCGATCGTTTGGTTCTTGTCGAGATAGTGGATTCGCTTGCCCAGCTCGCAGCGGCGAAGCTGGGAGAATCGGTCAGAGCAGCTGCAGTACCACTCTTTGCAAAATCCTGTAGCGCTTACCGTAAGCCTTCCGGCGCACAACCGGGTGCATCACTACGGAGAGTTTGCCGTTGCACCCATTCTGCGAAACGCTTTCGAGACAGCTGGCTTCGAGTACCTCCCAATCATCACTTGGGACGCAGCCATGGGCGAACCATTGATTTTTGCAGAGAACGGAATCGTAGCTGGTCATGGGTTGGGACTTTGTCAGCCGTACACTGCTGGCTCCGAGTGCAGAAATGGCACAAGAGCGCCGTATGATGTGTTCTACTTGATCGGCTACTTTGGGAACGAGCTCGAGATCACGAGGACCTCCAGACAATGGTCAGCTTATCAGAGCTGGTGGTACGGCTTTCCCAGCGAACAGCATCTTGGGCGAGATTCGATGCACGACAATCCAGACGTAGAGCACTACTGGGATGCAGTACGGCAGCGATTGATCAAGTCTTTTTCCCCGTCTGGCCACCTGTCATACAACATCACAAAATTGATATTTTACGGTGATTACGCCGGAAATCCACGTCTTCGTCTGGAGGTAACAGAGGTGCTGCACGCCTTCGGCCAAAGGCCGCAGTTGGTCGACGATGGAATTGATCCAGTCTATGCTGGTGCCCTCGGAGTGGCGGAGTTTGCAAAGCGCAAGCCATACCTCGACATCGAGGCTCAGCACTCTCACAGCCTGGTCGACCAGACAAAGCCGGATCTGTGACCGGTCCAACGCCGAAGCAGGCATCATAAACCCGGCACCACGGCACCACGGCACCACTTGCACATCGCACGCCAGACAATAAGCCATACAGAGCGCTGCCGGCGGGGGAGTGTGTTAGACAGTCTTACCATGTCAGTGTACTCGGTGACAAGACGTCCGCAGCTGAATACGGCGCCTAGCGATTCATATGCACACCGCACAACATGTTGCGCTGAGGCGCCTGAGGCACGGCGCAGTAAGACACCAACGACCTGATGCCCCATGGCAGACCTCTAAGCACACAGCATTGAGGGCAGGCCGTCATCACCTCCCAGTTCGGATGCTCGAAAGTTGCAGTACTTGGATGTTGATTGTGCGTGCGTCTTGATCTGAAGCCGCCTTGTTTGCACCGACCACCAACCACTACGGCGGCGAAAGCACTATAAACCTATTGGCGCGGATGCTCTATAATGAATGAAACCGCATTACATCTCAAGACACTGCACAGAGGATGTGTGATCACGCTATTCTGGTGGAGGTTCGGCATGGTAGAGCTTGAGCTTCAGCATGCACGCAGTCCTCGATCAGATTCATGTGCTCTAATCTCGATCACATTGGCGCTGTTCGATTACAACACCACTCATGCATCAGTCATAGGAGATGTTCCATTCACAAGTGAAACCTGAATCACGACTGTGTTCAACGCCTCCGTTACGTCTGCAGGTATGCTACAGCTCCGGCTCCATGCGGCTTCTGTGGCTGACTTCGCGAGGTCAGTGCACATATGACCAAGCTACGGTATGCTGACCATTCGTGACATGCACACTTAGCGTCAGCTTCATGCATATATCCCGAAGTGCACGTTGCGCGTCGAGCATGCGGTTCGACGAATGAGGTTGCCTTGCTAAGCGATTAGCGTCGTGCGGACACTCGTCTGGCTATCGCGGCAGTATCCTGACTTCCCGACAAGGTAGCGTTGGAGAAGCATATGAAGCGCTTCTACTGCGCACTCGAGTAGGATTTGTCAATCTTCGATCCATCTCTCAACGAAGCACAACATCAAGCGTTTGCTTTACCCACCCAATGTCATTCACAAAGCATCAATGATCTGAGTTGCTCAACCCGAAACGAAGCTCACGACATGTCTGCCGGGTCGAAGTGGGAGGCCAACTTCCTGGCCAAGTTTATCGAATCTTCATCTCGCCCCTCCAGTCCGATTGCAGGCGAACGACCCTTGACTCCTCGACCAACCCGAGTCGACGCTGTCGCCAATCGGGCTCGCTCATCGACGCCCAAACGCAAAGAGCGATCCAGACATGGAACCGCCGGAGTCACGTCGACTGCGCGCTGATGTTGTAGCAGCGCCAGAACCTGGCCTGCGACAAACATCTTCTGGAAGACTGTCGTGGTATGTGGCCAGTGACGAGAGGGAACATAGCTGGGTGGCACTCGGGGCGGAGCAAGCTTCTCCTACCTCGATGAGAGTCTCCACTGGATGGTCGAGTCTCGACTGGCGCAGGCTGATATGTCGCGGACGGCGTTGGCGAATCTGTAACGACTAATGATGGGATGTGATGCTCAGGACTGGTAGGACTTGGCTGAACATGGTGGCCGCTTGTATTGACCAGGGTACGGCTGGGGAGTAATGCTCACGCGAGAAATAGCGAGATTATTGATCTTAGGCCTATCTCGTATCGATCAATTGATCCTGTACGCATCATAGATCACTGTCGCTATCAGCTTGACCTCGCAAGATCTCACACTCAAGTCACTCACCTTCCGCTCCCCTTCTCGCCCCACTCCCAATCCACATTCCACCGTTGACCACCTCCCTGTACCTCTTATCGCCTGTCTCCAGCTTGATCGTCAACCTCATCTGATACTCACTCGGCGCCACACCATCTGCCGACACCGGATCGAACAGCTTCTCCAGCACCTCCCTCGGCCCCGTTCGCCAGCCAGACGTCTGCACTGCGATGAAGGCCGGCGGCTCATCGGAGGTCTGCAGGAGGTAATTGGTCTCAAGCCAAGTGTGTAGCGTGTCTGGATGCACGAGCTGAGAGTCCTGACCACCGGGCTGTGAAGCTGCTCAGCCGGATGTATAGCCATCAGCGCAGATTAGACGACAGACTACGACGGTTCCGGAACCCCATGTCGCTTGCCATTGCCCGCCACTGAAGCTGATCCAATTTCTCTGGCCAAAAGGTCCTGGACCGAGTGAGATCTTCGGGTTTAGTGTTACTGACATGCGAAAGTCGAGACGAGGCACTGGGACTGGGAGGTCGACAGTAGCTGCCACCGAACCGGGAATAAATGAGGAGCGCAAGTCTAACAACATATTATAAACAATTAGGTCATAGATTTGTATCCATGTGGAAGTGAAAATATGGGAGTTCGAACCTCTCGGTGTGTCGCTACTTTGAGTTTCGTAAGTCTGGCTTCACGGGCAGGTACGACCTCTGTAGCTCCTTCCTCAACACCACAACTTCCCTTTTGGGAACATACACTAAACATACCGAAACAACGTGTCTGATGTCACAAGGAGCTACGAAAGGCCAAAACGTCAACTCCCACCGAGAGGTTCGAACTCTCAACCTTGAGATTCTGCTTTTTAAAAGTCTCACGCGCTAGCCAATTGTGCCAGGCGGGACGGAGGACAGCAGTTGAGCGCTTAAACTCAATATAATTAGCATTACATCAGCTGACGGCTGGTCCCGCATGGTCAGCCTTGCGCTCTGCCGAAAGAGAAACAGCTCTTCCAAAGGAAACCCGACTCTCGAGGTTCTGAGATAAACGTGAAAGATTATCCGCATGACTGATTGTAATCAGCGTCACCATATGTTGCCAATACCGATCCATTCACATTACAGCACCGCCCACATGCTGACTTCTTCCGCTCTTCGGCGGTATGAGTGCCATCGCAACAGCCCAGTCGTCCCTCCCACTCTCCTCGATCAGCTCTTCAGCCAAGATCCTCCGTCTCTCGTACTTCCGCTGCCCTTCGACTCTCACCATCTTCCCTTTCATCTGCAGACTCTCTGTCCTCACATGTGCCCAAACCAGCAGCATCGCGTTGCCCAGCAGCAACCCCAGAATCACAGCCTGCCCCATCTGGCTTGCAGCAGCAGCTAGAATCGGACTCGCCCACGCGAGTAAAATCGCCCCGCCGTTCAGTGCGTCCTCGATCGCTGTGGCTTCGCGAAGCCACCTGCCCGAGGTAACAGCTTTCAGATCGTCCACGTCGCCTTTGATGCGAACCCAGCGATCATAGCTGAGCAGGATAAACAGATCACCCTTCACGCCGGGCTCGGATGCGCCGTGCCAGTCTACGTCGACTTGGCGACGGATCATGGCGATGTTGAGAATGCGGATGAGGACCAGGGTGGCGAGGTAGGCAAGGGCCCACATGTCGGAGAGGTAGATCAGGAAGCTGATAGCTACGACGGCAAGTGCGACCGCAAGGCTCACGATGCTATCGGAAGCACTAGGTTGGGACCGACCAGCTTCGAGACCGTTATGCAAATCGTGAACGGTCAGACTTGTCAAGTGTCCCGTCTTGCTGATCCTCTGCAGGTACGCGACAGTAGCCGGATTCTCGACTCGGAAGACGTAGCCAGTAGTCATGGCCGCGCATGCCGGGAACTCGCCGTGCGCCAAATGCTGTGCTCCATGCTGACGATGCAGGCCAGGACACAGTATCAGAGCGTCTAGCCATGAGGAGGTCCCTGTGAGAGCTGTGCGCCAGGCGACTAAGTCGAGATCTGCCAAAGCCAGCAGGCCGACGAGTCTGAGGGCACTAGTGAAGGCCATGGGCGATAATGCTCGTGTGTGCAACCCGGCGGTCCTTGTTTCGTCGAACAGCTTTGTGAGATACCCAGTCTGCTCAACGGTCGCCAGCGAGCTAGTGTTATCGAATCCTCAGATCGCTTTCGTCGGACTCGCGCCAGTCGGTTGGGCCAGCTTGGAATAAGTAAACAACCTTCCAAGTAGCTGATAGCAGCTCGATGCGTACCTGCATATGCACGCCCCACTCGCAACGCCGAACAGATTCACCTCAGCAGTCTGCAATCCAGGCTTCACGTGTCGTCCTCGAGCATGCCTCCGTGCCTAGGCAGTAAGCATATGATACTATTGGCATCGCAACGCGATCGCCCGGGTTTACTGCATGCTGCTACGCCTAAGTCGTCTCGGGGCGTTCGGCAGTACCTTCGCAACAGATTGTCCTAGCTGCTATGACTAGAAACTCTCGCCGGACATGCTATAATTGGCACAGGCTCGTCGTAACCCACACCACTATCTGATACATCTGCTGCGTGCTTCTCCACATCTAGCTCTGGCTGAGAAGGCTTACTAGTATCGGCGGCCATTTCGTCGACGACGCCCTGACTGCATACAAAGTGCACGAGTGCAAAGCCGTTCGCGACGATGAGATGATACTCGGTCTATCGATCGTTAGCATACACTCCTCCATAACGAACGTAGCAAGACTCGCCTTCTCCGCAAACTCTGCGTACACCACCGTTCCCGCAGCCACGAAAACAAGTCCCGCGAGCCCACAAAGCAGTACAAGCCTTCGACAGAAAAGCGTCCATTTCTTCGATATACTGGTGATGGTGCTGAGCGTAAACATGCCCGCGTGGACATATTGCGCGGTAGTCGCGGCTATGAAGCCGGACGTCGAAACTCCGGTGGTAAAGTGTTTGCTTTGAAGACAGAGGATTGGTGCCGTGCATTGCAGCAGAATGCCG